GAATATATTTTAATCCAATTTACCTCTGGTGTCATATGATATTTGCTGTCATCTGAAATTTTTGGAAAACAAAGTATGTCCAAAGTCTTTCATTTTTGAGAAAATTTAAAATTGTTTCCTAGAGGAACCTGTGGCTTTTTTTTACATGTAAACTAAATATGATTTCAATAATAGGGAATTACATACTTGCTTTGTGTGTGCAACAATTTAAACAAAGTTAATACTTAGAAAATATATTCTGAAAGATGAGTGAGTCTGGAAAATTTGGTTAGTGTACTTGGCTGAATTCGATAATCTAAGCACAAAAGAAACTATCAAGAATATAAACCTTAAATATTGTTAGAAATGTTATATCTATGCATTTGATGCATCCTTTACTTTTGCTTTTGAGAAAAAAGCTAGAGGGACGTGAGGGTGCCTCAGTGGTCGAGCATCTGCCTTTGGCTCAGGTTGTGATCCCGGGGTCCTGGGATCGAGTCCCGCATCAGACTCCCCGCAGGGAGCCTGCTTCTCCCTCTGCCTATGTCTCTGCCTCTCTCTCTGTCTCTCATGAATGAATAAATACAATCTTTAAAAAAAAAAAAGAAAAGAAAACTCTACAAGCTTACAGAGAATTATGAAGTAAGCTACTATTGCCTGAATTATATAAATCATTTATTTAATCTGAATATCAGCTTACTTCCCAGCTTTTCTTTGCTGATCACCCTCTGTGCTTTTAAGTAACTAGTGAAAAAAAATCTCCAAATGGAGAAAAAGAAGAATGTAATGTCAGAAGGGATGTCACTGAAGTTTCCCTCAAAAAAATAGTGGCAGATATATCTTGAAGGTCTATCTGAAAGATTATTATCATGTCTCTGCACCACCTGGAGGCCAAACTATTTGACAGCATGAAGTCTGAACAAATAGAAATTTGTCCAGAAGTTAGAAGAGTTGTATTGATTGAGATTTGAGACACATGTAAAAAAGCACTTCTAGTAGCTTCATTGAGCATATTTCATGAAATTAATTCTTTAGCATACTATTCCTTTTGCACTGTAAATACCCTGCTCAGTTGAATGTATTAAACCATCTCCTACTAAAGTGTCTGTAATCTCTCCAGTTCACTTTTCCCTTGAAAAGAGAAGATAAATGATTTACAGAAGAAAGGAAAATGGGTCCAGAAAGATTAGGTCATGGAGATCAATTGTATCCCTTAAAATCTCGCTGGGAAATTAATTAACTTCTCCAAGGCAGTGTCTATAATCAGTATATTTAAGATTGCATCCTTCTCCTTCTGCCTACATCCCTAATCTCATCCCTTAGCCTCATCTACCTTGTTCTGTAGCATTCATCGCCTCATGAATGATTATAAAACTGATCATATATTTATTGCTCATTGTTTCTTCTAGTTAAAATGTAAGCTCTTTGAGGGCAGAGATCTTTATTTCCTTCACTGATATATTAAAAGTACTTAGAAAGGTGCCTGGGGCGTAAAAGGTACGCAAATATTGATGGCAAACTACCACCTTTCCAGGGTGAGTTGGGGGGGAGTAATTAAAGGACCACTCGAAATTCCGAAAGATTTCTAAGATAAATGTAAATAAGGAATCCTAAGTATTTTAAATAATTCATTAGAATTTAATGTGACATTTTTCAAAGAAGATGATTATTTCCTTCCATGTACTACTGTTTAATTTATATTTCAGCCTCCCTCCAGGGAGCGTGTTCGGCTGATAATTTCAGGAAGTAAAGCTTAAACGATAAGGGAGCTTATTTTATTAAAGCAGAAAGGAAAGAAGGAATGCATTGACTCATGGTTAGGGGATTTCTAGGGAAATGGCCATTCTTCTATTTTATGCAGAAGGACTGAGTACTCTCTACTTCACTCGTTTAACTATTGTTACGGTTTGGTGAGTGTTTCTGAGGAACTGAGTTTATTATAAGAATTTATGTCACTTGATTTCTTCCAGTTAGAAGAGAGAGGATAGGGTATGGTGAGAACATAAGTTAATTTACACTTTATTATATATTTAATTAAAATGTATCTATATTTTATTAGAATGCCCTAAATTAGAAGCTTCAAAATTCTAATTGTTGACCTATGCTATTTTGTAATAAAATGTTAGCAGCAAAATGAGAAAAAAAAATAGGCTATCCGTATCCTTCAAATCAGCAATCCCATTTCTAGGAATTTATTCTGTCTTTACATAGAAATACAATTATTAGCTACAAAGGTACTCATCACAACATTGTTTATACGTGAAAAAAATAAAAGCAATCTAAATATCCACTAAACCTTCAATATGTTTATAACAGTGCAGTTTTATGCAAAGTATAGAAATGTATTTATTGACATGAAGAGATCCCCCTCAAATGCTAAGTCAAAAAAGGAGGCTTTTAAGGCAATATAATCTGGTGTATGTCATACATACGAGTATATTTAACCATGAACTACTTAAATATACTTGACTGTAGTATTAGCAGTGGTTATCAAGGTAGTGGAGGATTCTTTCAATGTTTTCCCTTCCTATATTTTACATTTTTATGCAATTAGAAATTAGAATGTGTGAGACACATAACAACATTTATCAAGAGATAAGTCAGTGTTTGTACATTATTTCTGCATAATTTGGTAATATTTCATTGACCTCTTGTATTAAAAAGACTTGAGGTCTGGAACATGTGTTCCCTTCATTTAATAGTTGTGTATGTTCACCAAAAGGGAGACTTCCACATCTGTATATATACAGCTCTTTAATTTTTTGAATATGTAGACATGAGAAGCACTATGGCCATTAGTAATTAATTCATATATATATAATTAATCCATATATATTAGTCATTTGTAATTAATTCATATATATATATATATATATATATATATATATACACACTCCTCAACAACTTAGAACATACTTTGGCACACTGTATCTCTTACAGTGTGGAAGCTGGGTTATATTATTGCTCTTGTTTTTAAAAAGTAGAGCTTTAATTCTCATGGGCTTTGTGTGAGTTGTCCAAGTTCATTCAACCGATAAATTCTGGGCTCTGAAATTCAGATCTCTGTGCCTACCATAATCAGGCTTTTTTTTTTTTAATGCACTGTTATGCGTAACTGCAGGCAAATAGTATGTTCTTAAGAACACAGGGTATTTTTTTAAGAATATCTCATCCCACCCGGACCTAATACATACCACCATTTGGAGTTTTTCCCTTGAGCAGACACTGGTATTCCAGCCATGGACAGCAGCTGTGATACACAGCTTCAGAGAGAGAGAAAGGGATCATGACCTGCCTTGGCAGCATTTCACAAGTAGCTATTCCAGCTACTGTGTTCCAAGTTCACCTGATGACAGTGGCTAGTTTGTCTTGCATTCTCCTGGCACCCTACGGGGATTTAGATGAATTGGACTGAGTCAGATTGATTTCCAAGCTCCAAGTATTTTTGTGAATTTAACATTGGAAAAGATCTCTGCAAACTTGTCAGTTTTTTTTTTCTACAACTGGCAATATTTTGAATAGTAGATTTCTCCTTTGGACACTTGTTTGAGAGAAATAATCCAAATCCTATCAAAATTAATATATTTATATGATCATGACAACTATTAAAAATGGTAACTATAATTTCCTTTTATGAATACTGTAAATATTTTGACCTACTGTATTTAATAAGCTAATGATATATTAGGAGGTTTAATCAGTCCACTTGGAAACTCAAACGTAGTATGTTTAAAACATAAACTTTTTTTTTTTTAAGTAGGCTCCATGCTGGGTGTGGAGCCCAATGCAGGGCCTGAAGTCACGTCCCTGAGATCAAGACCTGAGCTGAAACCAAGAGTTGGCCACTTACCCAACTGAGTCACCCAGATGCTCCTAAAACATAACCCTTGATCTAACCCACCTCCCAACCCCTACCCCCCTGCTTCAGTCCACTTCAAACAGCCTCTCCTAGTTCAGCCATTGGTGACAACATCCTTCCAGTTTCTAAGGCCAAAACCTCAGTGCCAACTCTGTGTCCTCTCCTTCTCTGACATCCTTTATTCAATCTATCAGCAAATCATGTTGAATTTGCCTGCAGAATATATTCCTTTTGGACCAGTTCTCCCTCTGAATCAAGTTACCAGGCTTCCTCACCTGAGAGTTGATGGTAGCCTCCTAACTGGTCTCTTTGCTCTGCCTGAGATCAGCCTTAATGCAACAGCAGGATTGATTCCTTTAACCCAGGTCAGTTCCTCTCGCTGCTCATATCACAAAGGCCAAAGCTATCCATCTCTTTCAAGTAAATGCCACACTCATCCTAAAGTCCACCTGACCCTTGTTACCACTCTTACCCATTCCTTTACGGCTACGCTGCCCCCTCTCTGTTCCGCTCTGACTTCTGCTGGTGCCCCAGGGCCCCAGGCCTCTCCTGCCTAGCCCTCTTCCCCACACTGCTCATGGCTCACTCCCAGAGCTTCCTTTAGATTCTATTCAATGCCCATATCTCAAGGAGGCTTCCTGGCTTTTGTACTCAAGCTCTCTACCTCACTACCTGTCCTTATTTTTCTTCAAACTACTTACCATTATATGTTACTTATTAGTTTTATTCCCGATATATCTCCCCTCCTAGAACGTGGATGTTGGAAGAGGTCAAGTATTTTTGTTTATCTTGCTAAAGGCTCCATCCCTAATGCCCGGAACAACGACTGGCACATATAGGGACTCAACCAATGTTTGCTGATTATTTGTTAAACCCAAAGTTATTTCTTGATTATATTTAATATCAGGCATTGCATTGGGCATTAGAGTACTCTATAAATGTCAGTCTTGCTAAAATATGCTTAAACATATCATTTTAACTTGAGGAGGGGAAAGTGAAATGATTTAAATTTCCTTAATCATTAGACTTTTAGGCACATGGCATTGATTTAAAAAACATCCCATTTCAGGTGTAAAACCATTGTTTATACAGTAGTTTTAACCATACTAGCTATTCTTTTATTTCAGCATTTTCCCCCTGTTTCTTGTTTTTTGTTTTCCAGAAAAGAGGCACAGTTAGATGAAGAAGGACAATTTCTTGTCAGAATAATATATGATGATTCCAAAACTTATGATTTGGTGGCTGCTGCAAGCAAAGTCCTCAGTAAGTTGAATGTGACTTTCCTTCTTTGGCTAAGTTACACAGAGAAGCCCAGAGGAATAATAAACCAAGATCCCATTGTATCGTCATGCAGGGTGCACGCTGCACGATGGTGGAGGGAAGGCTCAGGCTGTCCTGAGGCCTAGTTTTCCTTTACAAGCTCTTTAGAGAGTGGAGAGGCTCTCAGCATTCCTTCACAGAAAACCATGTGTCAGGGTGGGAAAAAATGGTTGACACTTAATGTGATAATAACTTCAGTTGTGATGTCCAATACGGTAATTATGAAAGTGTAGTGTGCAGAAACTATTGTTTTTGAATCTCTCTTGCAATCACGAATTCTGTTAACTATTGGTGAAAGGAACAAGAAATGGAGGTCTACATTAGGGAGAGCTCGTGCAAAGTAGGCAAGGTTCAAAACCAACTTCATGGAAAAAAAAAGTTGTTCTCAAAGTTAATCTCATGTGCTTAATTTGCAGCTAGACTACAGTTTGGGTAGAACAGAAAGCAGCTTTTTAGCTTTGCCAAGTATAATTAGATGAGTTAAATATCTATGATAGAATACAAGGATTACAAAGAAAGAATGGTAAATTGTTAATAATAAAAATATTTAGCCTCATTAGTAATCAAAACTGAAACAAATATGCATTTTTTTCATAGAAATGTACGAATTTTTAAATGTCTAGTGTTGTCAAAAGTAGAGTTAAAGAGGAAATCACAAATATTGTTAATCTGATGCTAAATAAAGACAACATTGTAGAGAATAATTTTGCATCATTAATCAAAGTCTCTTAAAAAAATGTACAAAACCTTTAGGAATTTTTCCTAAAAGAATTATTAGATCTACTTAGGTTAAGATTTCTGAATATATATGTTTTTGATTTATGTATATTTTTATCTCAAGATTACTTGTACTATCAAAAATTGGAAAAGTCTACATTTTTGAAAGGAGTGGATTGGTTAAATAAATTATTGTGTCCCTATGTTAATGAGGTTATTAAAATTGATATTACAGAAAAAATATAAAGATTTTAGGAAATATTGATAATTGAACAGTAAGTAAAAAAGCATGATTGGGGTACACGTTATATGTAACCAACTTGTTAAATATGGATATTTACATGGAGAAAACAATTTTTCATGAAAATATGGTCATGTGCATTCTTGATGATTTTTTCTGTGTTTTCCCGAAAAAGTAAGTTAGTACATTAAATACAGGTTTCAAAATTAATTAAGTACTTTGCTGTGAAAGCTGAGAAACTGATTGTTTTGCATATAAGTACCAGTCTATGCTGCTGACATTGTCACTATGTTGTCTTCACAGATTTCCCTGTGAATTTTTTCTTGTGGATCTATGTCCACTTGCGCAAAAGCTGGGGATATTTTAATTTTTTAAATTATGCACCTATTTTCATTCTTCCCATTAACAATATTCTAGCTATAATATGTTCTGTTGTTGTTCTCTCAAATCTATAAATAGATCTCAATGCTGGGGAAATCCTCCAAATGTTCGGGAAGATGTTTTTTGTCTTTTGCCAAGAGTCTGGTTATGATACAATCTTGCGTGTCCTGGGATCTAATGTCAGAGAATTTCTACAGGTAAGCAATTTGAAGTTCTGTAGTTAAAAATTCTGAATTAGTAATTCTTAAACGGAGGCTCTAGAATACTTTTGCACAGCCAGCTAGACGACAGTGTCTTGCTACTGAAATGGAATCACAGTGACTTTTACTTTCTTTTTCTTTTTTACGGTGACTTTTCCTAATTCACATAAAATAACGGTTATAGGGTGGTCTCAAATACATTTTAGCATTTTTTGTTTCTTTTTTTTTTCCCTTAACTTTTGGTTGCCCACCTTGAACATCCAAGTTGGAAATTAACATCCTCTGAACATCTCAGCATGTCCTATTGTGATTAACTGCCCCCCTATTAATGGTTTATATGTGCTAATAGTGGTGGGTTTATGTCTTTGCTATATAAGGTGGTCCTATTTTCTCTTTTAAGGTATTCCTAGTTTGTATAGTGTAATTAAATGATATGTGAGTATTGAGATTCTACTGGGCTCAAAGTTGGGGGAAAGCACCATGGCTTTCAGGTGCTCTGCCACCAAAACAAATTCGAGAAGCATCACTCCCAGTGCCATATTAATTAAGGTGCTGTACAAAAGGAAACCGGAGAGCCCTCCCAAAGGCATTTTCAGGTGAAGTAAAAGAAATAAGGCCCCCAAACACCCTTGTCTTCTATTCTTGTCTAAATTACCTTAAAAGTTTTTTACTAGAAAATAACACATTAGATGAGAGACTATTTTTGGATTGACTGCCCTATTTTAAGCACAGGCATTTGTAAGACCCTCTTCTTGAAATGTGTGAAGGTTGAAAAATTATGTGGTTGTTTGTAAAGGACATTTCTAAACTGGCTGCTTAAAGCGGCCAGATCTTGCTGGTAAATGATGTCAGCGCAATACTAGCTGAACCCAAGCCCAGTTTTGAGGGAATGTAAACTACTTTCAATCCAGCTGCATTATTGATTTAACAGCCAAAATAAGAACTATAGTGTTTAATCAAAATGTCTGTTGTTTACATAGTGACATTTTTCTTATAAACTTAAAACAGCGTTAAATCAAGATGGAAACTGGTCTGCAATGCCCTGCCGTGGGTTTATAGAACTACTGGTGTCAAAAAAAAAAAAAAAAAAAAAAAGCTGCCAATTCCCAATGAAGGAGCTGCCAGGCGATTTTTAAATTAAGCTTTAACAGGCTGTATTTAAATGAGTTATTTTAAATGGATTAAAGTTTGATATTTGAAGTTTACTGGGATTTTGGATTTTTGAATACATACTCCATTTTTTAATACTTTTATTAACTTGCATCATTTTATGGGCAAAGTTGGGATTTGAAGTCCCTCTGTATTAATTTTAACTTTTATTCTCAATGGCCACGTCTACATAACAAAATAACCATCCAAATGTTTTTACAAAAATTTTTGTCAATCTTTACTCATTGTTTCCCTTTGCTGAATTTGTAATGGCACAGGAAGAGAGCAAGCAGCCTCCCTGTGTGTTTCTCTATGTTCCTGAGCCCCATCCTCAATAGGACAGCCACTGGCCCCCTTGGCTACTAAGTATTTGAAATTCGATGTGCTATGGGTAAAATACACAACAGATTTCCAAAGCAGTACAAGAAGAATACAAATAACTGATATTTTATATTAATTACTTGTTGAGATGATAATATTTTTGATATATTGAGTTATATAAAAATGTATCATGAACATTAATTTCACCTGTTTCCTTTTTCATGTTTTAACCATCACTACTAGAAAATTTAGCATTACTTATGTGACTAGCGTTTGTGGCTTGCTCTAGTGGCTTTTATTGCCTTTTGTTTCCATTGGGCAGCATTACTTTAAGTAGCTCTAAGTCCTTTTTCCTCAAAGTCAGTACGCAACTTTAGTTAATATATCTTTAAATCACATATGATTTTATTTTTCTTTCAGTGTCTGAACAATGAAGAAACTAGAAAGTTAGAATTTTGTGAAGTTTTCACCAATATTATTATTTTTTGTCCAATTCTTTTTTCCTGTTTTTCAAATTGCATGTCTTACCAGCAAATTGAATGGATTAAAATACTGTAGGCATTTATCTTATGATTAGGCTATTTACATAGACATTAAAAGAATTTTTTTTTCTGTATAAGTGATTATAAAATAAAGCGACTGATTTTCATAAATTGTCTTTTTTTTAAAAGATTTTATTTATTTATTCATGAGAGACACACACACAGAGAGGCAGAGACATAGGAAGAGGGAGAAGCAGGGTCCCTGTGGGGAACCCAATGCAGGACTCGATCCCAGGACCCTGGGATCCCGCCCTGAACCAAGACAGACACTTAACCACTGGGCCTCCCAGGTACCCCATAAATCGTCTTAAGATCCTCATTCCCATATAAAAATTTACATTTTTCATTATATAAATTAATAAAGCATTATTTTTCGTAGACTTTAATCCTTCATTAAGGAGTAAGGTAAGCTGGGTCTTATCTTAAAGAGAATTTAAAAACTTTTCTTTTTCATTCTGATTTCAAACAAGCATCAATCCTTAGAGTCTATTTCCTAAATTTTGAGAATTCTATCACTTTTCTTTATTTTCTCTATACTTTTGTGGGAGCTATCATTCTCTAGAGATTGGATGGTTTCCCAGCCTCCCTTCAAGACTCTTCCAATCTCTTCTCCATTCTATAACCCTACTGTTTTTTTCTGAAAGTTCAAATGTATCTCATTATACATTTTCTTGCTTAAATGATTCCCAATTCCTCACCGGAGAAGGTAGAAAGTAATTAAAATTATTGACACTACTTACATCCCCTATCCATCCTTATTCTTCCTCTACCAAAGTCTGACCAAAGAGAACTTCTTTTAGAGTCTTTATTATTATCTTGCTCTCTCTATCCTCTGAACTTTTGCACCTGTTCTTCCCTTTACCTAGAACATTGTTACTGCTACTTTCCAGCTAAATAAATCCTATTTATCCTGTTGGTCAAATTACTTCTTCCAGGAGGACATCACTCCCCTCTCCAATCTCTGCCCTTTCTGAGTCAGAGAAATTGGCATTTCTCATTTTTTCACAGTACACTCTATTTCCCCAGCCCTCATATTTCTCACACTGTACTATCATTTCCTGTTTATTGGGCTGGAATGTAAACTTCATGGAACCAGAGACCATGTGTAATCTCTTAACGATGGTATCTCCACAGATACAATCTATATCTGGGAATGAATAAATACCATTTTTGAGGACTGAAGAATGAAGATTTGTTGTTTGTACAAAAGTAAAAAGCAAATACACCAACAGCTCAAGATTAATTCTATTAAAGATAACAACACTTATTTTATTTTTGTTATTATTATTCTTTTGATGAAACTATATAACTTTATTTAGAGATGAATTATAGTTTGAAATGTATAATAATAGACAATTTCCACCTAGAAATTTACATCTAATGTGGACATGGCAAATTACTATTTATTAATGAATATACAAGTTACATTATTTGTTTCTAGAAACTTTCAAAATGATCATTCTAATATCTCCATTTGGAATTTCCAGGCAACAATAAAGTAGCTACTGGAATTATAACGTGGGAAATCATTTGATTATGCCTTAGGCTGGGCAGCTCTGACCACTTATCATGCTTCCAAGGAGAAATTCCTTGGAAGTTGTCTTTCTTCAGCCTCTCAGTTGGATACATTATTAAGAATGGCTCAGGGGGCGCCTCAGTGGCTCAGTTGGTTAAGCATCCGATTCTTGATTTTGGCTCAGGTCATGAGATCGAGTCCTGTATTGGGCTCCATTTGGGACATGAAGCCCTCTTAGGATTCTCTCTCTTTCTCCTTCTGCCCTCCACCTCGCATACTGTGCTCTATTTCTCTTTCTCAAATGAATGAATGAATGATGAATGAATTAATAAATAAATAAGTACATACAAGAATGGCTTCCTATTAAACATACATTTTTGTTTTTCTTGAAATAATTTCCAAAAGTTCTGAGTTCCAGGCACAGCCTATAATAGACAATCTATAGAGAATCTTTGAATGTTAGAATTAGCTAATTCTGAATTATATGTTGTATATATATGTGGCTAGTATAATAATATGTATATATTATATTTTTGGCCCAGGATACTTTATTGATTTAGTAATATCTTTAATATATATATATATATATATATATATATATATACTTAATTTGGCCCACGTGATTTTATTGAGATAATATTCCTGTTTCACTTTTAGAAATCTAATATTCAAGGACACACTGAATAGAAATTATCTGTAGTTTAGTTTCAGAAAAATATTTCTCATGTAAAGTTTCTCATTTCCCTGGATCAGTCAATGTAAACAATTTAATGATCTAAATTTAACAATTTGAACAGTTTAAATAATGGACAATTCCCCTTTAAGAGGCTTTGCCACTAATATTAAATTCAGGGCCCTGCTTATCCAAACTCTCTTGTACTTCCAAATTCAATTTAAAAAGTTTCACATTATACTTATTTTTAATCTACCTCAAGACTTTAACAAAAAGTAGCTAAAAATACTAAATAGATTAAGTATTAATAGAGTATGGAAAACATTTTTAGAGGAAACTTCTTAGAAACATTGTGCTTCTAAACATTACATAGTTTGGGATTGTTTTTCTTAAATCTCCTGTGAAACCATCAATTTGTAGACTGCTGATGAAAGCAGATAAACCTTGGGGAGCCTGGGTGGCTCAGTCAGTTAAGCGTCCAACTCTTGATTTCAGCTCAGGTCTCAATATCACAGTCATGACATCAAGCCCCGAGTGGGTCTCTGTGCTGGGCATGGAGCCTGCTTCAGATTCTCTCTCTCCCTCTCCCTCTCCCTGTGGTCCTCCCAGCTTCCTCCACTCTTGCTTTCTTAAAAAAAAAAATATATATATATATATATATATATATATATATATATATATATGTGTGTATGTGTGTGTGTGTGTGTGTATATATATATAATATTAAACCTTGGAATTAAACCTTTAGTTAGGTTTGTAATGGAATATGATTTATAAAAAAGAGATAAAGAAAAAA